ATGGTGCTGCCAACTTTGGAAAAAGTCATCCCAATTTACTGTGTTGACTTGGCATTGTACAGAAATGGACAACCGTATTGGTCTAGAAATGTTAATTTATTTTTATTTTTATTTTTTTCCCTGTGTACAGGGGTAACACATTGTACTAAATATGTAAGGTCATATCTATGTGGGTTTGATTACAGAAACTAAGAAAGTATTCTCTAAATAATGAAAAAAGAATAAGATAAGACTATAAGAGCGAGAAGCAATTTAAATATGTTCAGGGACCATTTTCATCTCCAGAATTAAGGATTATTTTGACGTTACATCATTGCCTTTTCTCTTTTACTTTCCTTTTTAGTTTTATTTTAGGATTCCCTATTTTTAATGTTCATACAGAGATTTATTTAACTGAAATACCGAATAGTTTCTTTGGTGTGAAAAACTATAATAGTACACAGGATCCTAATGAGACAATTAATAATGTGAAATAGGAAATAAAGGGCTAAAGGTGTAAGGAAAGTGGGAAGGGTGGGGGAGAGGTAATAAGGGAGAGGAAAAAAATATGAGAAACTGAAAAAATGGAAATAAAGTGTTTGTAAATGGGGAGGGGAGGAGGGGTTGAAGGGAGGGCAGGGACAAGGGGAAAAATGAGAATCAAGATCTATTATGTAAAGGTACAGAATCCCAATGATGAATGTAATTGTATTGTATACCTAGATTGTACCAATAACCTCAATAAAAAGAAAAAAAAATTAAAAAAAAAAAGAATGGAAAATTGGAGGAAAGACACACCATATTTTTGCAGCCATCTCCAACAAGTCAGGTTGTGCTGAATGATAACTTTTTCATAGCTTGAGCTCTAATTTAGGAATATTATTATAAGAGGCTCAGTGATAAAAGGGAAGCATTATATCTTTAAGATTAAGCATAAGGCTTGTGGATGTTGTGCATTGGCAGAGTGCGTGCATAGCATGCAGGAGGCCCTGAGTTTGATCCCTAGTACCACCAGAAAAAGATTAAGTGTGATTTTGGTGCTAATAGGGCTTGATAATGCTAAAGAATTTTGTATATATTTTTAATATATTGGTCTGCCCTATCTTCAGCATGATCATGCATTTTTGTAAATGAATTAGCCCCGCTGTGTGGGATCATTTCGTGAGAGGTCCAGGTTAGAAGAGCTCCAGAAGCCTCATATGTGGTTGAACATCAGGCTTCACAGCCAACAATTACATGGTCCTCCTTGGTGGTGGAGGGTAGGACCCTCTGGCTGCCTGGACTCATGAATGGAAATGCAAAATGGATTATATTTACTGTTACATTTTTGCTTTGAAGTTGAAACCAGGATTAGCTGACCCTGGAGGCTATTTTGAGGAAATATCTTCATGAGTTCCTTTTATCTTGATGCTTGTCACTAAAGTGTTGTGAAAATTCTGTTCCTATCTGTCATTCATGTAATAGATCTGATATTCCCAGTTTTGATCTCTGAAACCCCTTAAGACCTCATTAAATTAGTGCTCCATCTGTCTGGATCAGAATCAACAAATCTCACAGATTCTCCATCACAACTCTTCACTTAGATGGCACCCCTGAGCTTTGAGTTTTTTCAGTACAAGAAGTTTCTGACATGCATATTTGGATTTTATCCTGCTTTTTCAATGGAAATGACAGCCAGAAACCCTTCATGAGCCACCACAGGAACTCTATTTCCCCATCTCTCCCCCTTCCAGAAAGTGTTCTCCTTGTCTTTTCTGCCCTGTTACTTAGAGGATAACAGAACAGCATGACTTAATACCTGGGTTGTAGCCTGTGATGGGTCCCAGAAGCACTCTTGACACCATCATCTCCTTTAATCCTCATGTCCCATTTGACTTCTGAGAAAAGTGGGAGGCTTCCAGCCATGGAATAGTCCCCAGGTCACACAGCTGGTACCCCATGCTCAAGTACAGAAGAGAAGAGTCATCTGGTCTACCTGCTCACCACCTCCCCAAGCTGTGGGAACCACTACTGAGTAATTTGTGGATATAGATGACCAGCACTTCAGTAAGAAATATGGGTGACTATGCCCCAGGTTGATTGCCTCTACAGAAAGTAGAAACACCATTTTACAGAACTGTTAGGATTTGTGACACCAAATTAAATGAGATGAATCATGTAATGAACATTATAGAACTGTGCCATTCCTCTATTTGTGCTTAGACATGAAATCTAACTACTTTTCAACAATAGTACTCAATGTTCATAATATACTATTTAACATTCTTTATTTTGTTTTTTAAACCAGTATTCTCAAAACTTGTCGGCTGCCTTATTTTGCTGACACCAGTGTGTGTTACCCTCCTTTGCTCACCAGAAGATAAAAAGCTTAAACACTGTTTTCCCTTCACTGCCTGGCAGCGCCCCATCATCTCCATCTGCTGGGGTCACCGGGACTCACGGCTGTTGATGGCCTCAGGGCCAGCCCTATATGTAGTTCGTGTGGAGCATCGGGTGTCCAGCCTACAGTTGCTGTGCCAGCAGGCCATTGCCAGCACTCTGCGAGAAGATAAGGACATCAGCAAGCTCACCCTGCCTCCTCGCCTCTGTTCTTACCTTTCTACTGCTTTCATCCCCACCATTAAGGTAAAGCCTTCCACCCTCCCTGATTCTCCTTTCCCATCTGTCTGCCACCCACTGCTCACCAAGAGGAGGGCAGAGACAGGACAGATGGGGCAGGATAGCAGAGCATACACGCAGAACCTATCTGCTTTTCCGCCAGAGTGCCTGGGGATGGCTGCCTGTGTACTATGGGGCCTTGCTCTGCCTATACTGAGCATCCCTATTAATGCCTGTGTAAGATTTGTCAAGTGCACTGGGCCTTATCTTTCTTATGGTCACCCTGATTTTCCCAGCTTGACTCCTGTGTCATCCTGATGCTCAAAGGAATGGACATTTATTTAGCACTTCTTATATATTAAACTTTACACAAATACCTTATGAAAGATATTTGGTTCAGTCCTGACTTTGGGCAGATTCTGACATTTAAGAAAACAAGAAACAAGTTTGTAAAAGTGAAGTGACTTGCCCTGCCCCATATATAGTTAGAGGAATAGTCAAGATTAGACTCAATGCAATTCTAGGGCCACCTTACCTCTCTTTTATGCCACCAGACCACCCCTATGCAGGACACCTGCCAGCTAAATTTTATACAGACTATTTCCAGAAACTGTGGCAGCATGTGGAATAGACCTACCAGTAGCTACTCATGGGTTCCCTTAACTTCTAAGTATCAGATTGATTTGTTCTGATAATTTCTTGCTTTTACATCAGACTTCTAAAATCTCTTGTGATTTTTTTTTTCTAAGTTGCCTTATAGTATTAATTCCATACCAGCAGTTCTCAACCATGGTATGTTATATTGTATTAGAAAAAACAGATGATGTGCACCCACATCTGTGAACCACTGTGGGTGATTCACATGGTAAACTGCACCATGTAATTAACTTCTGTCAAGCTGCCAACCTGTACTCTGTTGGAGTAACAGTGACTTTTTGGTTGACCTGCTCTATTCCTTCTCTGTTTCTCTCTGTGTCTCTGGAATTCCATCTTTCTTTTTCTGCCTGTGTCCTATTCTAGCCTCCAATTCCAGACCCCAACAACATGAGAGACTTTGTCAGCTACCCCTCGGCTGGCAATGAGCGGCTACATTGCACCATGAAGCGCACAGAGGATGACCCGGAGGTGGGTGGCCCATGCTACACACTCTACCTAGAATACCTGGGTGGGCTTGTACCCATCCTTAAGGGGAGGCGTGTCAGCAAGCTGCGGCCAGAGTTCGTCATCATGGACCCACGGACAGACAGCAAATCAGGTAGGCCTCTTACCAGAGTAACTGAGACCTTATTCTTGCATGGTTGTAGAATGTCAGACCTTATAACTCATGCAAAGAGAATCCTGTTTATGAAGTGTGAGCATGTGTTGGCTAGCATGGTATGTCCTGAAACTATTATGTTTCAGATCCCTTACTTCTCTAAATATCCTAACAGGCTTTTTTTTTTTTTTTTTAACAGTGTTTCATAGGCATCAGGTAGTTGGGGTTGTGAATAGTCAAAGGGAAGCCAGTACAGGGCTTCTAGCCGCAAGAAAGTCTTCTCACAGTTAACCATTAAGCATACATTGAATACCATAGTACAGTATTGAGACAATTTGAAAATAACATGGTATGTTTCGGCCCTCTTGGAGTAGATGATAAATTTAAATTTTCAAATCATTAGCCTACTCCTCTACCTTTTGCCTCTGCCCCTCACTAATCCACTATTAGCTGCTTTTTAGCTGATTTACCAGTGAAAATTTCTTGCTCATCCCAAAGGTTTTGATATGATGAATCACCATCCTTCTAAAATTCCCTTCTGTGCTGATCATCATTGCTCAGTTGTAGTAGTCAGCTTTCCCATTGCTGGGACAAAATACCCAACACTCACATCTTAAAGAAGGAGAGGTTTAACTTGGCTCATGGCACATTCAGCTATGAATTCATCAGTGTATTAATTCACTAATGAGTATAACACCCCAAAAGCCCCACCTCTGAATATATGAGACTTTGGGGGACATTTTAGATCTAAACCATAGTATCAGTCAGTGTCATTGCCTAGCTGAAGATGCTTTTGCATACCTCTCTCTAGGATCCCAGATTTTGGGGTTTTGTACCACTTAGTCCTAGTCTTGTACCTCCCTTTGAAATCTTCCCCATCACCGAATGCAGAATGAACATTGTTCTCAGTGCCCATAACCAGTCATGCACTGGTGGTGTCCTGATCAGAGCACTATGGTCATTGTACACCCTCCCTTCCTGAATCCTGAGGGCCTGGAGGGAGGAAACTATTTCATCTTTATATCCTCAGTGCCTTATAAACCCTAAACCTTAAAACAACATTAGTTGGGTTAGATTTATTTTCATTATTTGTATTTTCCCACTACCTTGGACCATCATTCTACAACCCACTAAACTGGCTAAATCCCTTGTGATGTCTCTAAAACCTACAGTGACCTGTGCATGCCTAGAGTCATCCTAAAGCACAGTACAGTGGGCTTCATTCACATGCACTTATATTTTATGCAGTTACTCCACCTCTGCTCTGCATTGTTTGCTCAGCATCTGTGGCAGATTCTGCTGTCAGTGTTACCATATAACAGCAGCAAAGCTCTACTTTAAAAATTGGAAACGTCATTTGTTTGTTGACATGAGACAAACTAGTACAAAGAACAAAGCAAGTAGAAGAATTGGACTGGCAGGGAGGCAGCAGGTGGAAAGCAAGGTAGGGAGTACAGAAAAGAGAGCAGACATTAACTTAGAAGGAAAACATGGTTTCAGAGAAAGCAAAAAGGAAAGCCAATCACTGGTTGAGTAGAGAGAGGTACATGGGATAGGTTCTGAGCAGAGCCTGCACACATGTTCTCATTGGATGTCAACATCTTGAAGTGCCTTTCAATGGATACAACTCCCTAAAACCTATGCTGAAGTTGAATGTTAGGATCACTTGGGTGAAGAGCTTGTGTACTTGACCATGTGCCTCATTCCCACAGTGTGGAGGAGGTGCGTGGGCCTCAAAGCTGCACCTCTAAAGGAGGCCAGATTTGAGTCCTAACCTGACCATGCCAAATGGGCTGTTTTTCTCTAATGTCACATTTATCAGCTCATATAAAGCACAACTGACTCCACTGCTAACAGTCCTTTGGGGAATGAGGTGTTTTATTTTGATAATTTTTATAATTAAAAGTTGCAAATCAGAGCAAATGAACAGATGTGTCACCTACTCTATCACGTACTTGAGTCTCCAGAGAGTGGTAAGTAGTAGTAGAGTATATCTGCTTTTAAGCGATTTGTAAACCCTTATAGGTGACAAGAAAATTTAAGCACTTGAAAAGTTTGATTAAAAAGTCCAGATTTAAATACCTCATGACAAAAATAGAAGCTATATCACAAGGCACAATATGATTAATTGCCAACTGAATGGTACATATAAACTAGCTCAGAGGACAAAGTGATTCCTGACTGAAAAGCCAGGAATGCATCATGATGAACTCTTTCAAGCTTTCAGGTAATTGTTTTTGAAAAAGTTATCTTTGGACCACCTCTGTACAAATCACCTGGAGTTACATTAAATAAAAGTTCCTGGGCTCATTCCTTATATGGGGGTCTAGGTCTGGAGTGGATCCTAGAAATCTGCAACTGAGTGGATGCCCCAGGTGGTTTTTTATGCACTAAACTTTGTGACTCACTGTTGTAATTGTTCTCAAAATGACTTGACAAATATATTCCTCAGAATTACATGTATTTTTTAACTAAATAGTATGAGTTGTGTGGCGGGGGGTGTATTAGTGAAAAATCCACAAATTTTCAAAAGCAACCTTTAGTTGGTTTGGTGGAGACTAAATTCTCAAATTCATATGTTAAAGTACTAACCCCTAATGTTACTGAATTTAGATATAGGGCTTTTAGGACATGATTAAGGTTAAATGAGATTATAAGGGTCAAGTCCTAATCTGATAGGATTATTAACCTTCTGAGGAAGAGAGAAGTCTCTTTCCACACAGAGGCACAAAGGAAAGGCAGCTGTCTGCAGGTCATGAAGAGCCTGCCTCAGGAACCAACCATGATGATACTTTCATCTTGGGACTTCTCAACCTCCACAAGTCTGTCTCTCTCTGTCTCTCGCTCTGCCCCTCCCTTACCTCCCCCATATATGTGTGTATGTATGTCTGTATATATGTATATAGATTTATGCACACATATCAGGGTTCTTCAGAGAAACAAAACTATAGGTAGATGCAGATGTAGGTATTGAGAAGTGAGTGTTGCTTTAAGAAATACTGAAACAAATGAACTTTGGATGAGCTTTTTAACTGAATAATGGGAAATGGCTGGAAGCTTTCTGAATTGCATGCTAGAAATACAGTTTTAAAGGCAACTCTGATAAGGTCTCAGGTGGAATTTAGCATGTTATTTATTTAAAGCTGGAGGAAAAATAATCATTATTAAGTTAGAATTTAGCTGAACTGTGTTCTAGTGTGTGCAAAAAATATAACTTTAAAGTGATGAAATCATATTTAAGGAAGTTTCTAAGCAAAGTGAAGAAGGAGTGGTTTTGTTCCTTCTGACTACTTGCAATAACATGGGAAAGCAAAGAGATAGAGATAAACTGAAAAAGGAATTGTGAAGGTAAAAGGATCCAGAACTTGAAGACTTTGCAAATTCTCAGCCTATCCATTGCAAATAATGAGAAAGCCTATTCTGAATACAGTACCAAAGATGTGACTAACCATCTTTGATAAAAAGTTTATGAAATTGTGCCAACAAAACCACTTCCAATGTGAACTAAAAGGAATGAAAATGGAATGAAATTCAGAAAGGCAGATGGACTTCTTAGGTTTGACAGGTCAGAATGCTAGAACTATTTGGCTGCCATGTTGCTCTGTTCTGTAAGAGGGGAAATGTCCCCAAAGGTCATTGAGAGATCAGCAGTATCACTTCTTTAGTTTCAGCAGTCAAATGGCCTCTCCCTGGAACCTTGAAGACAGAGCTACTTGGAGCCATGAGGGTGATGCTGCACCCCAGTGGGCCCAAAGGATGGAGTATTCCACTAAAGGGAATTATTCTCAAGCCTTAAGATCTGATGGGATTTGTCTTGCTGGCCTTTGGACTTCTTTGGGACTTATCACCCCTTCCTTGCTTTCAGTTTCTTCTTTTTGACTGGGAATGTCTACGCTATGCCTGTCCCACTATCCTGTATTGGTAGCACATAATTTGGTTTCTTAGGTTCACATCTAGAAAACCATTAATCTCAAATCTTACCTATATCTGATTTAGATCTTTAGACAAGACTAGACTTTAGAGTTCATGCTAGAATGAGTTAAGACTTTAACTTAGGCCATTGGGATGGAATGAATGTATTTTTTATGGAAGAAAGACATGAATTTGTAGATGCCAGATGCAGAATGCTATGGGCTGAATTGCAACCCCCTCAAAATTCTGTGTTGAAGTCCTAACCCTCCATGTGACTGTATTTGGAGTAAGTCTTTTTAGGGGTTAAGATTTAATGAGGTCATAAGGAGGGATACTGATCTGATAGGATTAGTGGCCTTAGAAGAACCTGGAATAGAAATATCTCTGTGTATCTACTACTCAAAGGAAAGGTCATCTGAGCATACATGAAGGCATTCATCTATAAACCAGGAAGAAATTCCCCTAGAATCTTGCTATACTGGTGTACTAATCTGGGACTTCTAGTCTCTGAACCTGTGAGAAGACAAATTTCTGTTGTAGAAGCCCATCCAGTCTATGGTACTTGGTTATAGTAACCTAAGCAGACTAAGACAGAGCATATTTTAAAAAGCAATTAGAACAGCTTTTGAAGCCAGGAGAGGTGGCACATGCTTGTAATCCTAGCACTCTGGGAGACTGAGGCAGGCTGATCCTAAGTTTGAGCCCAGCCTGGGCAACTTAGCAAGTTAGTGAGACTCGTTCCAAAATAAGGGTTAGGGGATGTAGCTCAGTGTGAAAGCCCTGTATTCATCACTAGTACAAATACACACACACACACACACACACACACACACACACACACATGCCAAAACCTAGTTCACGTTGCATATTTGGGAAAAATCTTCAAAATTGGAATGTGAATCCCAGGTGTTATAGTTGTCTTAGTGTCCAAAAACCAATCCCAGTTTATGTTTTTTTATACCTTGGATGTTTGTTCCAGAATTTCCATGATGAATTGATGGCCCAGAATCTTTAGAAGTGTGAGAAATATAGCTCCACCACCCTGGCCTCCTTGAGTGTTGTGCGAATGGAATGTAGGAAATTTTTCATTATGGTGATGGCAGACACCAGAGGAGTCTGCTGTGCTGTGCCTGCCCGTACGTAGTTATAACTCTGAACAAGCAGAGCTCACACATGTACTCAGAAGGCAGCTTCCTTATTCTCATGCAACTATCAGGTAGTCTTCATCCACTTTCAGGGATTGTTCTAGTCCCTAGGGGTACAGAGGAGACAAAGAAGATGGCACTCCTACCTGTGGGATTTACCCTCTGGTTGGGGAGACAGACAAAAACTACTTATACGTAATGGAGAAAGAACAAGTAGCTTGAGACAAAGCATCTGAGTAATCTTGCATGGACAAGGAAGTCAGTGGTTGAGTGGGATGCATGATTAGTATTTTGGGGGTCTGTTTATGCATACATGGAAGCATTCTGTGGGCTTGCATGAGTGACTCACAGCTGAACTTCCTTTGGTCCAGTAACTCCTGAATGAATATAAAACATCACTCAGACACATGAATTAATCCTTTTTATATGATTGAACTCAGACTCATAGAACCATAGTTGGCTGGATGCAAGGACTATGCCTTCTGATTCAATATTTTAAGAAAGGGATGACACAGCCTGGGCACAGCCTTTTTTGAAGTAGCAAGCCAGCCCTAGGTGCCCTGTCCACAGATGTCACTTCCACATGCTCAGAAACTCAGAGGCGGGTTTGAATTATCATCTTCTGAGATGTCAGCAGATTCTTTAAATGGTAAAATTGCTTACTTATTTTGCTGTGGTTGAATGATTCAGCTTTTTTTTTTTTTTTTTTTTTTTTATCTCCTAGCAAGCCTCTCAAAGCCTTAAGGGAGTAGTTTTGGTTAGCAAAGTAAGAATGGGGTTCTTAACTTTGAGGGGGCTAGGGTTGTGAAGGGGGGCTCCTTGGAGAGTGTGCCAAGGAGAAGTAGCTTCAAGCATGATGAGCTCTGTCAGCTGTACAGTAGTCCTGTCTTTTACATTCAGTTTGCTGATTTTCTTGTGGGAAGCCAATTGGCAAAATTATAAGTGACTTCCATTCAAGGTGTCTGAAGAGTAACCCAGAACTATCACTGCAAGTCCCCACATACAAGGTCTTGCAGTCAGCCATGATCCCAGCAAACAGGCAGCTGTGCCAGGTGGAATAGCCAGCCCCTCACAGACAGCCTGTGCCTGTTCTAGAAGACTCCCTGACCCTGCAAATACAAACAGCCAAAAGACCTCAGCGTAGACCAAGCTCATTCAGAAGTGTGGTCCTAGCAGGCCTGGACCAACAAGAGCCTTCCTGGGTCAGAATGAGGTTCCCAGAGAGTAAGTCAGTGAGCCCTCCCACAGTTTGGGTTTCTGGACTATATGAAAGTCCATACAAGCCCAAGTAGATACCTGTTTGTCATGAGGCACAATACCAAAGCCATTTTAATTTCAGCTTTCAATACAGTAAATGGTTCCAGACTATTTTGTACATCCTTAGAGGTATTAAAATACCATACCATTTTGACACCAGTAGAAGAAATTGACTACTTCTACTTAGAAATAGTATAACAATATATTTTTTTAGAAAACACCGCCAAGCTCCTTTGAATCCCTAAATCTGAAATGATGGGTTGTAGAGTCCATCTGTCCTCTCATTTATAGCAGTGATTGTTGCTAGCGTCATATGATTTAACTTCCCTTTGGTTGGTGTCTTACAGATGAGATCTATGGAAACAGCCTCATTTCTACTGTGATCGACAGCTGCAACTGCTCTGACTCCAGTGACATTGAACTGAGTGATGACTGGGCCGCCAAGAAATCTCCCAAAATTACAAGAGCAAGCAAATCTCCCAAACTCCCAAGGTAATGTTAGTCTTCAGATGTTTTCCCTTTTTTGTGCCTCTGATGTGGCTGTGGCTGTGCCTACAACAGAATCCCATCAAAACTGATACTTGGGGGGTGCATTCTGAACCACCTTCACTCCAGAATGTGGCCCAGTTCCAGAACCTTTTCTTGCTCAGATAAACTTTGTTATGTTAAAGAAATAAAGAAACTGACACTTGTGCAGCAAGATCAATACCCCCTTTTCTTTTCTTACCACCTTTTTCTTCTGGAAGATTCTGCTTGGAATAATTACAGCTTTTCTTTGTTTTCCTTCAGGATAGAAAGACACCCAGTAGGAAGTATGCTAAACCCTCGGAACTTCTCTAGGGGTTATCAACGATGGTAGGTGACAGGGGTGGCTGGAGCTCACAGGCTTGTTTTTTCTTCCAGTTTAAGAAAAGGAAGAAAAAGGTCTTACAATGGGTGCAGTGTGTTGAAGACAATGCCAAATTAAGTACCTACAATGCTTCCATTAGGAAAATTATAGTAACATACAAAAATAAAGTTTCCTAAGAGTTATCTAAAACTAGAAGACTAAGAGTAGATGGAAGGACCTGGGTTGACATAGATGAGGACACCACCTTCTTCTGTGTTGCCACCATCACAGACTGTATGACTTCGGTGTTTCCTTATCTGTGGACATTAATGAGTGAACCAGATCCTCACCAAAATCCTTGCTAGCTTTACATGAAAAATTAAGGTGCAGTTTACATACAGATATATATTATACATGCCCAAATGCTTGACTTAAAGCAGCTGGGTCATAGGACAGTTGCTATACCAGTGTGTCTTTGCCTGGTGTAAGATAAAGAATATGCCCCTCAGGCCAGTGATTTAGCTCAGTGGTTCCGTGGCCTGCCTTGCAAGCGCAAGGACCCGAATTCAATCCCTGGTACCAAAAAAAAAAAAAAAAAAAAAGAATATGCCCCTCATCCCAGAAGGTCCCTTGTTCTACTTTCGTTTGATGTGACTTCTGTCACAACAGATTAGTTTTGCTTGCTATTGTATTTCACATAAATAGAATAAAAAATGTTGTACCCTTTTTATCTGGCATTTTTGCTCAGTGTAGTAACTTTGAGATTCATCTATTTCATCACATGTATCAGTAGTTTGTTTTTCTTTACTAATCTGTGGAATTTATTGGGAATGAATAAATGTGTTTGTCTTTTTTTTTTTTCTACCAGTCAATTGATATGTAATAGTTCCCAGTTATAAACATTCTAATACAAGTCTGTTGTGGGTATATATGCTCATTTCTCTTGGGTATCCACATAAAAGGGAATTGGAGGATCATGGGTTAGACATATGTTAAGCTTTATTGAAAACTACCAAACTAAACTATACCATGTTAAATTCTGAGCAGTACTAGAAGAGAGTTCCAGCTGCTTCCATTCTCACCTACAGATCTATAGTCATTTTTTAAAAATAATTTTACCCATTCGAGTATCTCCCATGATTGGTAATTCTGAGCACTTTTTCATACATTTCTCATACTCTGATTAGCTATCTAGCTACTTATCACCTTTTGTGAAGTGTCTGTTCAGGTCTTTTGTCCATTTATTATTGGACTGTTTTTCTGAATTTGAGTTGTAAATGTTCTCTTTGTATACTAGATATAAATATTTTGTCAGATAGTTCAAAATAGTATCTGAAGATATTTTACAGTTAATACCTTGCATGCCCTGTTTAGGAAATCCTGGTCTACCCTAAGGCTATAAAGACAGTCTTCCTTTCCAGCACCTTTTAGAGTTTCAGCTTTCACATTAAAATCTCAGAATAGTTTTACATCCAGATTAATTCTTTTCTACAGTGTGAATTAAAGGGTAAACATTCATTTTTTTCATATAGATACTTAGTTGCTAGAGCAGTCTGATTTGTTTTTTACATTTTATTCTAAACCTTGTTAAAATTGTACATAATATGATGAACTTTTCAGCCAAGCATGATAGTGCACATCTGTAATCCCAGCACCCAGGAAGCTGAGGCAGAAGGACTGCTGAGAGTTTGAGGCCAGCCTGCGCTACCTAGTGAGTTCATAGTAAGACCATGTCTCAAAAAAAAAAAAAAAAAAAAAAAAAAAAAAAAAAAAAAAAAAAAAAAAGAAGAACTTTTCAATAATTCCAATATTCTAAGCTTTTTCCATTAGTTAGGCTGAGAGAAAAGTTCCCATGCAGACATTTAAACTGTACTTCACCTGTAGATGTCCTTTTAAGGTTGTTGCTTCTCTGTGGTTGGTTCCCCTTCCTCCTCTCCCTACCTAGAATCCCCTCTACACAGCAGCCAGGCTAATGGTCCTAGCTCACAGCTTTACTCAGCTCAATCTCTCATCCTCCCATTCCTCAGAATCCCTGAGGAAGTTTTTCATCAGGCTTGCAAGTAATATACAAGGAGCTTAATGCATTTTTTTAGGATCTTGTAAACTTTACAGTATTCATTGTTATAAAACTCTCCTTGGAGTAGACTGGCATGAAACCTGTCTTCACATTACAAAGGAGTTAAAGGGAATAGGATCAAAAGGCAGCAGAAAAACTTTAGATGCACTGATTTGATTTAAATATTGCAGGTGGGAAAGTATTAGATGAGTCTGTTGAAATCCAACCTGTCATAGAAAGAATTTTAAAAATCATAGTGGCCTTTGGATAAGAAGTGACTCTTCCCTCCTGCCATTTTCCCTAAACCTAATTGTGCAAATGTATGTAGACATTTACAAACTTTCTGTAGTAGAAAGAGAAAGAGCTAATTTTCTGAGGTTCCTTTCAAATAAATCACTTGATCTAATCTCAGTGTATTTTTAAATATTATATATGTTATTCAGCATGCAACTGTTATTCTTTCCTCATGTTCATAAAGCAAAAGCAGGAGTAAGAGTTTTGTGAAATTAGGGTTCTGGCCACTGAGAATGGACATCCACGGCAGACTGTCTAGACAGGGAAGCAGAGTGCTGGGTCCAGCCCTGCCCTCTCTGTGGGTGCCTGACTTTCCTGGTGTTGTCTCCACAGGATCAGCATTGAAGCCAGGAAGTCTCCCAAGCTGCCCCGGGCTGCTCAGGAGATCTCCCGGTCTCCCCGGTTGCCTATACGCAAGCCCTCCATTGGCTCACCCAGCCTGACTCGGAGGGAATTTCCCTTTGAAGACATCACTCAGGTAGTAGAATGGGTCTGACAGTGCTGGTCTGATTTGATTGAGCCCTCTGGCCACCTGGATGTCCCACCTTTCTGCCCCACACACTGTCATTCCGGCATACAGGCTCCCTGGCTCGGCTCCACGTGCCTTTCTGCTGCCAGAATCTTCCTCCCGGGGAACTCTGGCTGAGATACTTCCCCACTTCTCCACTTTGCTGCTCTCAAGCCAATTCTAGTCCAGCAGTGATTCCCCAGTTTCTGGGGAGAGAGCCCTGGTCACAGCCCCCATGGTCTAGTTCTGTCTGAGTCATCCATGACATCTCCTCATCTTTGTTTTTGCCCCCACTTCAATACCTAAGTGCAATGCCATCTCTGTCATGAAGGCTTTCTGTACTGGCTCAGGCACACGCATGGAACATCAGGTGTCTGACTACCTCTGACATCTCTCAGGGACTTTGTTTTACAAAATCACTATGAGTCCTGTCTGTTCTATTAGGTCATAAGCTTCTTGAGGAAGTAGATTTTGTTTATCTATATTATTGCTCCTATGCGTGTACACACACTTGAGCGTAGTAATAACTTTTTGAAATGTGTTTTACTTGAATGAGAAAACAGGTAATTGGACAAAATCATAACATTGTAGCTGTTTCCAGGGAAAATATCAAGTGTATAAATGGATTTGTATATAAGATTTCCTCTCATGATTAGGGGAAATGAGAAGCAAAGAAAAAATGTAACCAAAACACTTTCGTGGTCTATTACAATTTTTTATTTACTTATTATTTATTTTTTAAGTGGGGTCTTACTATATTGCCCAGGCTAACCTCCAACTCCTGGGCTCAAGCCATCATCTGGCATTAGCCTCCTGAGTAGCTGGAGCTACAGGTATGCAGCCTTTTTAAACTGCATACATATAGACATGTTGAGAGAGCAAGCACTCCTAGCTCAGTGTGCCACCTCTAGAAAATGGGAATTCAGTGTGCTCCACTTAGCATCTGGTCTTTAAAAATGGCCAAATTACAGATGGAATGAATATTTCTGGCAAATATATTTTATATATAATTTATATTTATTTTTATATATATTTAAAATATATATATATATTTTTTTTTCTTTTCTTACCTAGTTCTAGAGATTGAAACCAGGGCCTTTACACTGAGCTACATCCCAAAGGATGTTTTTTTGTTTTGTTTTGTTTTGTTTTGGTTGTTGTTTTTTTAAATTCTTGATACAAACACTCACTCTGAATTGCCCAGGTTGGGCTTGAATTTGAAATCCTCCTGCCCCAGCCTCCTAAAGTGTGGTAATTATAGGCAAGCACCACCCTCTCCAGTACATATTTGTGACTTTTAAAGCAATAAAGAGTAACATTCTTACAAGTGACTAATAGAGATATGTCCTCAAGTATAGAAGTAGACTTAAGGTTTGTTTTTTGTTTGTTTTTTTTTTTTCATATTTCTTCCCCACAGCACAACTATCTTGCTCAGGTCACATCCAATATCTGGGGAACCAAATTTAAGATTGTCGGCTTGGCTGCTTTCCTGCCAACCAACCTCGGTGCAGGTAAAATACTCATTCTCTTCTCTCACCATTCCTGTTAGAAATCAGACCCAAAAATCAGGTCTCAACCTTTGGCCATTTAAAGTAGAAAACAAGCTCTTAAAATAGCACAGATTTGCAGATTAGTGATGAGTATGTAAGTTGCTTTAAACCTTGACTCCAGCCACTATAATTTTGGAAAAATTAGAATTATCACTCAAATTGGCTTTTGCCACTGGCTCTATAGTTTGTTTATTTTGTTTTTTTGGTACCGGGGATTGAACTCGGGACCTTGTGCCTGCGAGGCAGGCGGCAGAACTACTGAGCTAAATCCCAGCCCTAGTTTTTTTTTTTTTTTTTAAGATAATTCCTGATTTAGCATAACAGAATTACAAAAGTAACAGAAATATCCAAAATCTGCATCTGAGCTCTCAAAGATTTCCAGATATTTTGAATGGGCAGATTTTGATACTACTGTCTAAGTCCTTGAATCAAGAAATTTCTAAAGAAAGTGGAAGAAGAAAAACATTAAAGAGTAGAAGAAGTTGGCTGTTTACAGTATAATTCTTAGTGGTAAATATAAATCTCATTTCTCAGTATGGATAAACATTCTGCCCATAATAAGTTTGAGACAAAGAAAAGCAGTGAACCAAGGGAGTACAAACCTGGGTCAGAATCCACACTTGCTCATTTGCATTCCTGCCTAAATGAGTAGTAATTATTTGTCATGTTTACCGCAGAGATAAAAATGAAAATGCAGGGCTGGGGATTTAGCTCAGTGGTGCTGCTGCCTGCCTCACAAACGCAGGGTCCTGAGTTCAGTGCCCTGTACCAAAAAAGAAAAAAAAAAGAAAAATGCAAAAGATCCTTTTCAAAGGAACTTTCTTTTGTTTGGTAGAACCCTCTTTGGGCTGAGTAGTTACGTTGTTACTCCTATCTTCCTTGGTTGCCTACTCCTTTCCTGTTTTACACATCCTCTGTGAGACCGAGTAAGGCTGTGACCCTTTATCTCAGATATGTTCTGTGTAGCCTACAATTATTTTTGAACAATTCCAAATCTGTCTGTAAGAGTTGTTTCATACACAGATCCTTTAATATAAATTATTCTTGCAAATCAGATGTTAAAAAGACCTGTTGCTATGTGTGTATCTTCAGAGATTTTATTAAAGAGTATTCATTTGGATTTTGAGGTTTCTCAGCTCAAAGAAAAAGAAGAATGAAAGTAAAACATAAAACTGACTTGGAAAAATAACAATATACCATCCCTTTATAAAGCATAGAACACTCTTAAAATGTTTTCACCAACCTGGAAACTCTCTAGTGACCAGAGAAGTTTGTTCAGGTATTCATCAGTGCCCTATTGACAGATATCGTTGATTTTTAAAAAACACTGTCTGAATATCATTATTATCCCCAAATCAGTTATCTGAGAACTTTGCCATCTGCCTGTAGTAAATATTGCAAAAAATAATGGAAGTGTGAATTTACTTAATGGATCTTTTAATTCTACATTTATTTCTTGTATGAGTAGATCCACAAATAAACCAATGAGGACCTTAGAATGAGAGAACCTCTGAGTGCCTCTGAGGACCTACTGCTTTAGATTACTCAGCTCAGTGCCTAAGACAAAAGCTTGCTTGATGATTATCCTCATCCATTTGGGTATATATAGTATTAAGCTAAAAGAATTTTCCACTCAATTTTACTAGAGAAAAGAACTTTATCTCTATGATTCTAGAAGGTATATTATATATATATATGGTACCCCATTAAATGTTTTCAAAAACAATATATACTCTAAAGGATTTAAAAAGTGAATGTTGTTCCCTACATTTGATAATTTATTTCATTGGATTAGAATATCTGGCCTGTTAAATTTTAAATTTTTGCACTTCTTAATTTTAAAAATATATAAGATTTAGCCAGGGATTTAGCTTCAGTGGTTCTGGAGCCTGCCTTGCAAGCACAAGGACATGAGTTCGAGCCCTGGTACAAAAAAATAAAATAAAATAAAATAAAATAAAAGATTTAAAATTCAGAAAATTAAAAGGAGTGTATAATAACTCTCTGATCATCACTTTTTCCCATCTAGTTTTCTTCCCTAGAGGCAACTGAAAATGTTTTCCTAATCTTTCCTCAGGAGTTCTTTTAATTTCTTTCTGGATCTGAACAATAAAGAGTGGCACTTTAATTTATTAAACATTAAGCCATACAGAATTTTTCGACCACAATTTATATTGTCTTTCTTTTGAGGACAGAGAAATAAACACAGGGTTAAAGCCATTCTTGCTGTTGGGTTGAAAAGTTACCTTATCTACCCGTCGCAGCATTAGCCTTGGACAGAAGCTTCAGCTAAGCAGTCATGATGTGGGATGTTCAAGGACTTGACTGTGGAAATGGGATGTGGCTTGCCATCAAAAATAATCTGTAAAGAGGGCCGGGAATGTAGCTCAGTGGTTCTGCTACCTGCCTTGCAAGTGAAAGGACTTGAGTTGGATCCCTGATACAAAAAAAAAAAAAAATCTGTAAAGAACTTCTGTGTCTACATATCTCACAGGAGATAGTATTAAACATAAAAAGGTTTTTTTCTGTCAGGTAACAGGGGTCAAACTGAGGACCTTGCACTTTCGAGGCAGGTGTGGCACCACTGAGCTAGATCCCTGGCCCAAACATAAAGAGTTGACAGGACCTTTCACCCTAATTTTAACATCTTATGAAACTTCAATCTGGATTCATTATTTTTTATTTTTTTATTATTATTTTTTTGTTTTGTTTTTTTTGAGACGGGGTCTCACTATGTAGTTGAGACCTCACTATGTAGTCCAGGCTGGTCTCGAACTCACAGTGATACTCCTGCCTTAGCCTACTGAGTACTGGGATTACAGGCATGAGCCACCATGCCCGGCTGGATTCATTATTTTTTAATTTATTTTGTCTAAATATTTTAGTTGCAATCTGGGCTTTCTCTTCAATGTTCCTGTTAATCAAATTAAATCTTAAAGTTAAAAGCTGTGTGGAAGTTCCATATAAATCTCTGTTCTGATCATTATGTTAAAAGTTGAAAGACAGTAAAGCAAAAATCTAATCCTGAATGATGATATCATTCTGTTCCTATGTGATGCTTGTCTCCTGTCCCCTACCTGTTACTTTCAAACAGCTCCTTGATTGCCCAAATGTTTCCTAAGCTTGACACTCTCATCGCCACTGTTTTCACTAAATTATCCTTCTGCAGGTGAAGTTTTTAATAATATATTTTCCTACCTCAGCTCATCTCTCCCTCAATGGATTTAAATATAAGGTGTTTTGACGTTCAAAATTCTTGGTTCTGTAGATGGACTGTTGGTGGAGTAGCCAAGCTAGACTAAATATTTACCATTGCTGTGTCTAAAACCATGACCTGCATGGCTGCGTGTATACCAGGAGAGGTGAAGAGCTCCTTAGGCCCTGGGTCTGCCTGTGCAGATTTGTCTTCTTATGACAGGGAACACAGCACTTCATTCCTTTTCCCGAGACCCCACTGGTACAGAGGCTCTTCTCCACCATGTCTACTAACTGTGCCCTTTTTCCTCCCCACAGTGATCTATAAAACCAGCCTGCTGCATCTCCAGCCACGGCAGATGACCATCTATCTCCCAGAAGTTCGGAAGATTTCCATGGACTGTATTAACTTACCTGTCTTCAACCCAAATGTTTTCAGTGAAGATGAAGATGATTTACCAGGTGTGTCCACATACATGGACTTATATATCGTGATCCCTCTTAGCGGATTGTGCAAGGAGGGCAGAGTAGTAAGTCACTGCAGAGTATGGCCTACCACTTTGGTCTGGAAAAGGCACACTCAGCTAGGTAAGGTTAATAGATGGAGTGTCTTGGGTCAAAAAGAAGACGACAGATGGGTACCTATTTGAGGAGGAGGAGGAGAATGGCTCCTTAAAATGGCAATGGCCTCACATTTACAAAGCCTTCTCCCATCTGCCTGTGTTCCTCACTATAACCCTCTTAGTCATTTGCCAGATAAGATAAGTTAGCAGGACTGAGATAGCAAAACTGAAACCCATCCAGGGATCTTAGTCAAACTCTGTCCTTTCACACCCACATAAAGAGTGTGCTTGTGATATTCAAAGAGCCCTATGTCTCAAATCTGCCCCACCTCCAGGACACAAGACGGCCCAGTCCACTGCTCTGCTTAAAGGCCCAATCTGAGTTAAAGGTACAATCTGGTACAGTTTTTAAATTCCAGTTTTACAAATTGTCAAGTATTTACGGAATCTTGTTAGTTTGTTTTTTGATGAGAAGATCCTTAAAGGATCCTTTGTTGATTAATAGATTGGAATGATTTCTAGTTTATCAATTAGTTGTATATAACTATTCTCAGTTATGCTAGAGTACTTTAAACATTTGCTTTTCTAAGTAACAGTCCACCTGTACTTTCATGGCTACAGAGATTCCTCTGCTTCCAACATCAGTACCTTCAATATGATGAAATCTCACAGACTTAAGCCTCATAGTACATCGTCTGGTCTTAGATTAAGAAGTGTCTTTCAGACTTTCCTTTAGCACCCTCATATTCTCCCCAAATGCAGCAAATACAGTGCTCTCCTGTATTCAGTTTCTCCTGCAGTTGTTGTCTTTGCTGTGTCTGGTTCTAGTGAGGAAAGAATATACTATCTTAGGGCTGTATTCAGTGATGGTGGCTCAGTAAAGACACTTCTCTTTTGGAATGGAAGGTACCTGCTATCAGTGTTCCCTACAGGTCAGAGAACATCTGGAAAAGGGATCTGAACCGGATTAATAGGAAACTTGAGATGGGACCCACATTGGTGCAGCCAGAGAATAATTGTGTCTCGCTGGAGCCCCAGGAAAGAAGGAAGTTACAGGCCCCAAGGGCAGGCTTGCCTTTTTTTTTTTAAATGTCTTACCAGAAATTGAACCCAGGGATACTCTTCTTCTGAGTTATACCTTTACCTCTTTTTATTTTGAGACAAGGTCTTGCTAAATTGCCCATGGTGGTCTTGAACTTGTGGTCTTGCCTCAGCCTTTCCTGAGTAGCTGGGATTACAAATGTGCACCACCATGACTGGCTTGTGGACTTGACTTTTGATAGGCCATCTGGCTGCATTCTGCCATTCTGGTCCTAGGTCAGCCAGCCCGTTAGATATTATTTCTTGCCCAGCTACCAGTTGCTACAAGACTGTTAGCACCAGGCTTCAGGCTTCTGGCAGTGTTCTTTAAACAGGAGCCACAGTGGCTCAGTGGGTCTAAAGGAACAAAACTGGAAGCTACTTGGTGGGCACTTTCATGAGGGCACAGACAGCGGCTCTGAGCACCTGTCTGCAGGTAACTTCACATGCATGCTCCATGAGATTCCCACTGTAAGGAAGTGTTTATAGGGTTTTATTCAGCATGGCTCTACTTATATTGTTCAAAATGCTATAAAGTAGATAAATTAGGAAATTATCTTTCACCTAATGTGCACATTTGCTAGAGTATTCTTATTACTGTTTTTCATATATTTTACATGGTTCTATTTATAGAAACTTAATTTATGTCCAGATTTCAGATGCACATCTGTTGTGTGACACTATCCATGTCAACCACCCGTAATTGTGGATAAATCTGCTTGGAATCTCAAACATTGTGAGTCTTCAGTGGAGTCCTATATTGTACTGTTGTCCTTTTCTTGCATAAAAGGGTGGGCTACCACAATTTGTGATGATACCACTTAGGTACATTGTACCAAATTCACACTCAAACATGTTCATTGGAAAGCTCTGACAATGCCATTGGCCTACACACAGTGGGCAGGCTACCCATAAAACACCCCAGTTTTCTGTATAACCTCCCAGAAATACTAGAGAAGCTTTGTGAATAGTATAGCTTTCCCCAGGCAAATACACCTCTGCCTCTAGAAACTGCATTCTGCATGCAAAAGGTAAGATGCGTTCAGATGTAATGCTTATACTGACCCAGTGTCATAACAAGTAGTTCCTTTTGCAAGTAGTTTCTTTTTCTAATTTCTTTCCAGTGACAGGAGCATCTGGTGTCCCTGAGAATAACCCATCTTGTACTGTGAACATCCCTATTGCACCAATCCACAGCTCGGCTCAAGCTATTTCCCCCACACAGAATATAGGGCTGGTGCAGTCCCTGCTGGCCAGTCAGAATGTGCAGCTTGACATCCTGACCAATCAGCCAACAGCTGTGGGAGCAGCAGAACATATAGGTGATAATTTGACCCAGTACCCAATCCCCAACCGATACTCCAACCCTGGACAGGTGATTTTTGGAGGTGTGGAAATGGGCCGCATCATTCAGAACCCTCCTCAGTTGCCCTTGCCGCCACCACCACCACCACCACCGCCGCCACCGCCACCACTACCGCCACCACCACAGGGTGTCATGCCGCTGTCTGTGGTGGACCATGGAGACCGAGACCATGAGCACCTGCAGAAATCAGCCAAGGCCCTGCGGCCAGTGCCTCAGCTAGCCACTGAGGGGGATGCAGTAGTCTTCAGTGCCCCCCAAGAGGTGACAAAAATGAACCCCCCACCCCCCTACCCAGGAACTATCCCTGCTGCCCCAACCACAGCTGCACCCCCACCCCCTCTGCCACCACCTCAGCCCCCAGTGGATGTGTGCTTGAAGAAGGGCGACTTCTCCCTCTACCCCACATCAGCACATTACCAGCACCCCCTAGGCTACGAGAGGATCACCACCTTTGATAGCAGTGGCAATGTGGAGGAGGTGTGCCGACCTCGTACTCGGATGCTCTGCTCCCAAAACACCTATACCCTTCCTGGCCCAGGCAGCTCAGCCACCTTGAGACTCACGGCTACTGAGAAGAAGGTCCCCCAGCCCTGCACCAGTGCTACCCTGAACCGCCTGACTGTCCCTCGCTATTCCGTCCCCACCGGGGACCCACCCCCATATCCCGAGATTGCTAGCCAGCTGGCCCAGGGGCGGAGCACTGTCCAGAGACTGGATAGCAGCCTCATTCATGCTACCCTGCGGAGAAACAACCGTGAGGTTGCCCTTAAAATGGCCCAGCTGGCTGACAGCGCCCGGGCCCCACTACAGCCCCTGGCCAAGCCCAAGGGTGGCCCTGGTGCAGCTGTGGCACAGCTCCCAGCACGACCCCCACCAGCCTTGTACACCTGCAGCCAATGTAGTGGTGCAGGGCCCAACTCACAGTCAGGGGCCATCCTGGCCCATGCTGTCAGCACCTCCCCACTGGCTTCCCAGTCCTCCTACAATCTCCTGAGCCCACCTGACAGCACCCGAGACCGTACTGACTATGTAAACTCAGCCTTCACAGAAGATGAGGCCCTGTCCCATCACTGTCAGCTGGAGAAGCCCCTGAGGCACCCCACACTACCCGAAGCTGCTGCCACCTTGAAGCGGCCTCCCCCTTACCAGTGGGACCCTGTGCTGGGTGAGGACGTTTGGGTTCCACAGGAAAGGACAGCACAGTCTGCAGTGCCCAACCCTTTGAAACTGCCCCCGCTGATTCTAGGGCAGAGCCAGCACCTGGATGTGGCCCGGGTACCTTTTGTCTCTCCCAAGTCTCCCACTAGCCCTACTGCCACTTTCCAGACAGGCTATGGGATGGGAGTGCCATATCCAGGAAGCTATAACCCCCCTTTGCCTGGAGTGCAGTCTCCCTGCTCCCCCAAAGATGCCCTGGCCCCAACACAGTTTGCACAACAGGAGTCTGCCGTCATCCTTCAGCCAGCATACCCACCCAGCCTCTCCTATTGCACCTTGCCCCCCATGTACCCAGGAAGCAGCACATGCTCCAGTTTACAGCTGCCACCTATCGCCTTGCACCCATGGAGTTCCTATAGCACCTGCTCACCCGTGCAGAATCCCCAGGGCACTCTCCCACCCAAGCCCCACTTGGTGGTGGAGAAACCCCTTGTGTCCCCACCACCAGCTGACCTCCAAAGCCACATGGGCACTGAGCTGATGGTAGAGACTACAGACAACTTCCAAGAAGTCCTCTCCCTGACAGAAAGCCCAGTCCCGCAGCGGACAGAAAAATTTGGAAAAAAAAACCGAAAGCGCCTGGACAGCCGAGCAGAGGAAGGAAATGTTCAGGCTATCACTGAGGGCAAAGTAAAGAAGGAGGCTAGGACTTTGAGTGACTTTAATTCTCTCATCTCCAGTCCCCGCCTAGGAAGAGAGAAAAAGAAAGTGAAGAGTCAGAAGGACCAACTGAAGTCAAAGAAGTTGAACAAAACAAACGAATTTCAGGACAGCTCAGAGAGTGAGCCTGAGCTATTCATTAGTGGGGATGAGCTGATGAACCAAAACCAGGGCAGCAAGAAAGGGTGGAAGAGCAAGAGGAGCCTGCGGACAGCCAGTGATCTGGAGGAGTTCAAGTGCCGCAAAGCCAGTGAGAAAGAGGATGGGCGGCTGGGTAGCCAGGGATTTGTATATGTGATGGCCAACAAGCAGCCTCTGTGGAACGAGGCCACACAGGTGTACCAGCTGGATTTTGGAGGGCGGGTGACCCAGGAATCAACCAAGAACTTCCAGATCGAGTTGGAAGGGCGGCAGGTAAGGAAGTTGTAACACTGGCCACTGGGTGAAGGATGTCAGTGCTTTGGCCCCATGGGAGCACTTGTCAAAAGGCAAAGCAAAAAAGGGAAACAGCAAGTAGCTTAGGTAGAGCCTGTGGGGTTTATAATGTACCCATTGTAGTCTTTTTATGTATTTCTTTCTCTTATTCCATGAGATGTGTAAGGAAAACTCACTCCATTCCTCATGGTACCTGCTCTCTCAGGCAGGAGCTTTCCAGTGTTTGGTTCTTGTTGGATCCAAAGAAATCTTATCAGATATGCAAATAACATGTTTATACTTCTACTTACTGATATTTCCACTTGAGGCATCATATACTGCCTTTTTCCTGGGAACTGTCTCATAGGTTGTACTGTGTGCTTCCATCAGGGGCCAGCTAGTCTGGATGCTTCTTTTCCTGCCTTGTTTTCTTTTTGTGTCTTTGTTCTCCACCCCCTCCCCCTTTGCAATGCTGTCTAAAAGGATGACGATGGTTAGTACATTCTAGACTTCAGTACCCTTACTCAGCTGTGCACTGCTTTCAGTCTGAGGAATGTTAGTTACCTTTCCCCCACCTTCCATTCCTGCGCATACAAACCCATGAATTTTCCCTCCCCACTTTTCCCAGTTAAAGCAGTCCTCGTTGGTGATTTTTGTTGTGCCATTAAGTAGGATTCGCAGCTGAGCTTAGTATGGCCTTTTAATTAGTTTAATTAGTACAGCTGTTTTCCTTAGGCACTTTAATTTCCTAGTTTTTCTGTTTTCTTGTTGCTTATTTCTGTGTACTTATTACTAAGTCATTCCCTCAGCTCTCTGACAGAAGGTAAGTCTTCTCTGGGTACAGCTCTGCATAGTGGGTGAGTTGTCAGTTGTCCCTACTCCAACCTGCAAAGCTGCTTAACCTTGCTTCATAACTTCCCTCTTTGTTATGTTGGAAATTCCATTCTCTTCCCAATTTTGAATTCATATTTCAATTAGTTCACTCATCAACATTTATCAAGTATCTGCTATGTATCTAACCTAAGCCAGCAGTTGTAGCCCATGTGGCCCATGGGTCAATCTAGCCAGTTGCTTCTGTTGAGAAATAGTTTTACTGAAATATAGCCCTGCTAACTCACTTAATAAGTATATTGTGCTACTTCCATCTGATATTAGCAGAGTTGAGTGGGTATGGCAAAGACTATGCAACCTACAAAGCCTAAAATTTGTATTATATGCCCTTTGTAGAAAACTTACCAACCCCTGCTGTAAGTGTGAAATTATAGCAGTAAGTAAAACAAGGCTGTCACTGCCATCATGGAGCTTCCAAAGGTGGGAGAAAGACCAGAAATGAATCAGTATATATCCTACAACATAATGTAGTAACCTCATGTCCTATGGCTACAGAAAGTACCAAGGTCACAGGTGCAGCAGAGTGAAGAGGAGGAGCTTGGTGGGAAGGAGGTTGTGATATCCTGGAAAGGGGTAGGGAGGCCCTCTTGGAGGCACATTGTACAGTTTTATTTGATACTTCTCTTAATCCTTTTAGCCTGTAGATTCTCCCTTTTCTTCTCTCTCTGTCCTTTGTGAAGAACCAACTTCATTGACCTACAGAATTCCCTGCATTCTGTTTTATGCTCATAGCCTCCCCTTTCATTGTGTCACAGATTTCTCTATTGTTTCCTACAGAGTTGTTAGATTAGAAGCTTGATCAAATTCAATCTCTTTTGTTAGCAAATCTGTCTCACAGATTGTGCTGTCTGCTTCCATCAGGAGCTGGCAGGTCTGGTGACCTATTTCCCACCTTGTTTTCCTCTTATGCTTTGTTCCTCACCTCCCACCACCACCACCAGGTGATGCAGTTTGGGCGGATTGACGACAATGCGTACATTCTAGACTTCCAGTACCCCTTCTCAGCTGTGCAGGCCTTCGCAGTAGCCCTGGCCAATGTGACTCAGCGCCTCAAATGAAGAGACTGGTGTTGGGAGGAGATACCAAGGAGCCTTGGAGGAAGAGCCCATGTGGCTGGATGCCCAGGAAGACCAGAGACAACTTTGCAACTGGATGAGCCCATGAGGCCAAGAAGAGACGCACTGACCATTAGGCATGGTTGTTTGTTTGATTATCCTTATGGTCTGTCTTTCTTTTCTTCTTTCAGTTAATGGCATTTGGAAGCCAAGGGTGTCTAGTGCCTGTTGTTCTTTCAGGAAATGTAGCTTGGCTGTCAAATGTTCTACTGAGTTTGCTTCTCAGCAACCAGGACAAGGGCCTTTGGAGAGAAGACAGACTGCCTTCTAGCCTGCTGTTCTTGTAGGAGGAGTATGCATTAGTGTTCATTCTTCACAGCATCTGGCCTTTATTATCACTAGTGCAAAACAAAAACAGCCAAAGCCTGAAGATTCAGGTTCTCTTAAGGAGGGAAGCATTTAATTAACATTTTATGCTACTTCCAAAAGGTGACTTGATGAATGAAGGGCCTTTGGGCAAATGCCCTGTGTTTGACTAATGCAGGTAGGCTCTGTATAGGGATGATAAAGCAGGATAAATGTGATTTGGTCATCAGTAGTGTCTGGGAAGGACTGAAGGGTGAGGAGGTAAGGCAGGCTCTGCAGACACCTGGGTGACTCAGTGGTATGACTCGTGCAATGGCCACACTCCTCTTCTAAAGATGTTTGTATTGGAAGACTACTAGTCTCATCATATGTCAGTGTTTCATAGGATCAAGGATGATTATTCAGTAAGATTCACTTGAGGAGAAGGTCGGACACAGTAATAGAAAGATCCCAGCCTATGGTAAGGCTAAGGATTTTCTCAGTGTGGGAGTTACTAGATCCCCCACTTTCTGAGAAACATCCTCAATTCTCTTTATCTCATTCTTTAATATGGAATACACTACTAGAAAAATGATCCTGTCATTGTTCTATCCCTTCTCAAAGTTTGGGTGGGACTTGTATTAAAATAACTCCTTTCCTCCTGTTGGCTATATTAAAATTCAAATGACTAGAAATGTTTTCCATCAGATTAGAAATGTAACCAAAAATAACTTTAAGCATTTTCCAGGTATTAAAATATAGGGGGTGTGGTCAAATCTTTCACGCAAATTCCATACTTTTCTCTAAGAAAAATTAAATAAATAGAAGCTGTTTATTGACTGTATGGACTGTTTACTGAGGAAATAAACCACTGAGAAAACATTAAAATTATTAAACTTACTGCGGTTGGTTAAGTTTTGGGGTTTTGGGGTTTTTTTTGTTGTTGTTGTTGTTTTTTTCATTGTTGTTGTTGTTGTTGCTGTTTGAGACATGGTCTCAGTGTGTAGTTCAGCCTGACCTTGAACTCACTATGTAGCCCAAGCTGGCCTTGAACTCATGGCAATTCTCCTGCCTACGCCTCCTGAGCGCTGGATCACAGGCTTAAGCCACCATGCCTGGCTTGTGTTGCGTTTTAACTTCCTGTATTTGGTTTAAAAATTAGAGAAGAGGATGGAGGATTTAGCTCAGTGGTTCCACTGCCTGCCTTGCAAGCACAAGGTCCAGAGTTTGATCCCCATTACCACCCCGCCCCCCAAAAATAGAAAAGTGGTCCATTCCTTTCTCAGCAAAATGACACCACTCCATTCCTTCCAAACTCCTGGTTGTTTCTAAGCAACCAGGACAAGGGCCGTCAGAGAGAATACAAATTGCCTCCTAGCCTGCTATCATGGCTGTACTAACGGGTTTTACAAATATGGTGGAAGATATAGCCCAGCTCTTACTGGAGTTTTCCATTTTATTATGAAAAAATTCTTCGGTGGGTGTGGCATTTAGAATGGAGTTTCAACCTGATTGGCTTTGAGATCTCCAGAGTTTGGTGGAGCACACTTGTAGTTATGTCTGGGTGAGTCAGGGAGGCATAGTGTTAGGATCTGTATGTAGTCCCTTGCCTCTTCCTCTCTGGCACTTTCTCTCTAAGAACTAAACAGCTTTGCTGTGCCACACCGTTCTGCAAAGTCGTCTCTCTTTGGAGCCAGCCCATCATATATTGAAACTGTGAGCAAATCAAACCTCTCCTTTCAGTTTTGAAGGTTGGGTATCATGTTTCAGCAATGAGAAAACTGATTAATACAGTGAATAGATTCTTCCAGAAATTAGCAATGCATTCAAAATTATCTAATTCATTCTTATACGAGTTTCTGTAGCTTGACATGATGTTTCAGTGCTTATTAGTTGTATAATAAGTTATAGCCTGTTTTGGAAATAATTTAAATGCTATTCCCCTGTTTTGTTTTCCAAGAGATGATTATTTGTCTTGCTTTTCATAGTATTCGTAGGAATTATTTTGTTACTATATATTGGTGAGTTATGCCCATTTTATTATTTATTTAGAAAAACAATACCTTTGTAATGACTTATTTGGTAGCAGAATATTTCGCTGCAAGAAATAAAGAGGATACGATATGCTGTTTTTGCTGGATAATTTGTAACTTTTTCTAATTAGGAAAATCCAATAATCTTTTAAAAGTAATTCTTTTCAATTTTGTGGAATTGATTGTATACAAAGAATATTTCTTTCTTTAAGATAGCGTACCCTAAAATAATATTTCCCCTTACTTTGAAAATGTTTTTAATACAAAGTAAAGGATAATAAGAAATGAGAAAGAGAGCTATTAGATAAGAGTAGCAAAGGAAGGAACTATTAAGAAACAAGTTTCAGTTTTTTAGTTCTGATTAGTTTTTGAGCTATAAACCACAAAAGAGTACATTTTAGAACTTCTCTTAAAAAGAAAAAATACAGGGGAAATCAGTCCCGAAAAGAAATTTTCCTCACAGGCAGACCTATCCCTGCAGCCACTGCCAGCACATTCTGCCCACCCCCAGGCTGAAGGAGAATGGGTCTTGGCTGCCGGGCCAGGCAGAAACTGGCCACAGCAGTTGTGATATTGTGTCTTACTAATTAAGGTAGTGGTTTTACTTTAATAATTCCTTCTGTCAGTCTCAGTTAATGAAACACTATTACAGTTAGGACTTTAAGCAGCAGAATTCTAAGTGCTTTATGTTTATTAATACCAGTTTATGAATGTCAGGATACCTCATTGACTTCCTAAATTTAAAAACATTAGTCCAGTAAAAAGTCAATTACATAAAGACTTTTTGAGGGAAATGGTATATTAACAAACATAAAACCTACTTTTGAATTTGTTTAGCTCTATTTCAAACCAAAGGTGTCACAAGTACATGCACAGAAATACCCAGTGAATGTATATCCTGAGAAAAATTGGGACCAAAGAAGCAGGAAACTCTGAAAGCTCTAATGGCAATGTAAATCAGACTTTTGCAGGTTGGCATTATTCTTCCATAGCTGTTGCTTCCACAAGTGCCCCACTCAGACATGCAGAAACATGTAATTTTCATTCTGTCGTCACAGCAGACCATCAGAAGGCCCCAGCAGCGAGCCTGCTTGGCCCTAAGGTTGGAGGGTGACAAATCCCTGGGGCTGTCAGACTTCTCTCTGCATCTGTAAATTACAAGAGATGTCTGGAGAATCTTCTCAACTCCCTCCCAGTTCCAGTATCCCAGGAATTAAGAACTGAACAGTTTAATCTTCCTACTTCACAAGCGTGGATAGTATATTTCCAAACATTGTCTTTTTCTAGAGAATTTCTTTTCCTGAGTCTATGAGCCATCTACTGAATATAAACCAGTGCACTTAACATAATACCTTTAGAGAAATGCATTTGGATTCACACTTGTTCTTGAAAAATTACACAGAAGCACTGATTCCAGGCAAGACCGAAGAGTCCTCTATGAGTGTGCCCTACTCTATGGCTGTCCTTGAGAACAGACCCAAAATAAGTGCCCACTTGCCTTCAAAACCTGAGGGTGGATTCAGAAAGAATGGAAAAGTATAAACTTAGGTGGACTTGCAATATTTAGTGTGTTTTAAGTGTCACAACACCTTCAAATTCAGAAGATTTCTTGTAAAGGAACTTGTTAAAAAAATAACACTTAATGTCCCTGTGTGGGCTGCAGATCACTTGGCCAATTCTATGGTTGTGGACAAAGTTAGCTGATAAAAAACATGTCAGAAATGTCGTTTGAGTACCTAGGAGTTTGTGCACACACAACTCGGAACTCTGCGCCATTTGTGTATTTTACTTATCTTTGGCTGATAAACTCTGAAAGATTGTGGCTTATTTTGTTTCCATTTTCTTTGGCTTCGTGCAATTTTCTTGTAACTTCACTTGTACCTATATTTTCTGTTTACAAGTTCTTTTTAAAGGAAGAGATAGGATTCTAAGATCTCATTTATTGTAGATAAAATTTTTTTTCATGTAGAAAAGCATGGATTATGTGTGAAAAAGGCACTGTATTTACCAAAGGGGTATTGTTTTTGCATTTGTTTATAAATGCATTATTTTGGTACTGTAAATTTAAACATAATAATTTTTTAGTTTATTACTACTGGCACTTTTTCTTTTCTTCCTTACTTTCTACCTCTCTCTCTCTCTCTTTCTCTTGTTCCCTCCTCTCTCTTTCCCTTCCCGTAAGTGTGTAGTGCAGGTGCACAGGTCCCAGACCATACAAGACCACCAACATGTTCTTGTCTAGACCTTGGGAATGGTGCACCCTGCTTTGTTTGCTTAAGTTCCACTAATGTTGTTTTTATTTTTTTAATTTAACATTTTACTTTGTCTCACTTTCCAAGCAAGATCTGTTGAGATGCTCAACTGCATTTCAATGAACTATCCCTTATTTTCCTCTCTTCTTATGTATTTTGTGTGTTAGATTGTGCAGAAGGTATTCTAGAGGGCATTAATGGTTTGCATTTACAATGATGTGGTTTGTCCAAAATATTTTGTTTTTATAATTGAGATGGTTTAATCTTATTTTTTCTTTGACGATTTAAAATTGTAAGAGTTGTCCAGCTATTGCTTAATAAAATTTTGCAGATCAAAAAATCAACTGCTCGTGTGCAGAATTCAGATGTGGATCTTGAGTGCTTTGAGAAGAAATCACCTCACCACTGGCGTGACTTTCACATGCTTCACGGGTCCCTGGGAAACTGCCAGCTGTAATTCGAGACCCAAGGACCCTCTCATTGTGTTGCACACTTTGGGAGGTCAGAAATTGTTTTGTCTTCTTGTTGAACTGATTTGAATTAGCCTTTTTTTTTTTT